GTCGGGGCGTGCGGTCGGGGGGTGCCCCGGCAGGACAGGCTGGCAGCGAACGGTTCCCCGGTGCCACGGCCGGGGGTGGCTAATGGCCGGGGGTCACAGGCATGTGAGCCAGCCCCCCTGCAGCGCGGGGCCCCCGGCCGCGCCCCGGCTCACCATGGTGGTCAGGATGTATTTGTAGAAGGCCGAGGTCATGCCCAGCTCCGAGGCCTGCCAAAGAACCCGAGAGTTAGAGCATGGCGCTGTGAGCTTCCCCCAGCAGTGCCCCCAGCCGGGACCCTGGCGCTGCGAGCTTCCCCCAGCACTGTCCCCAGCAGGGACCCTGGTGCTGCGATCTTCCCCCCAGCAGTGCCCCTAGTTGGGACCATGGCGCTGCGATCTTCCCCCCAGCAGTGCCCCCAGCCGGGACTCTAGCGCTGCGAGCTTCCCCCAGCAGTGTCCCCAGCAGGGACCCTGGCGCTGTCAGCTTCCCCCCAGCAGTGCCCCTAGTTGGGACCCTGGCGCTGCGAGCGTCCCCCAGCAGTGCCCCCAGCCGGGACCCTGGTGCTGCGAGCTTCCCCAGCAGTGCCTGGCCCGTCACCTTCTTGAGGACGAGGTAGGAGAGGGAGGCGTTGGCGTCCACGATGATAGTTGAGATCTTGTCGTCCCGAATCTCCTTCAGCAGCGGCGTCGGGTCGTGGGCGTCGTCCAGCATCCGGATCGACAGCGTCTCCTTGGAGATGAGGAACTGGCGCACGAGCTCCTCCAATCGCAGCAGACCTGGAGGGGGCGGGACGAGCAGGGTCAGCCCCTGCAGCACGGCGCCCCCCTCTGGACCCCCTTCCACCCTGCCCCATGGTGACCCCTGCTGACCCCTGTGACGCCTGCCCCATGGCTCCCCCTGCCAACTCCTTCCACTTTCTGCCCCATGGCGCCCCCTTCTGACGCCTGCCCCATGGCTCCCCCTGCCAACTCCTTCCACTCTCTGCCCCATGGCACCCCCTGCTGACCCCTCTGATGCCTGCCCCATGCCGCCTCCTGCCAACTCCTTCCACTCTCTGCCCCATGGTGCCCCCCTCTGACCCCCACCCCATAACGCCCCCTGCCAACTTGTGACGGAGCAGGGAGCAAGCGGATTTGACCTGGGAATGGAGCCTGGGAGTTACATTGAGGTACCTGAGCTGTAACCTGAGCCAGGAGGGGGGTGGGGGAAGTGACACCTTCTGCCCGGGAGATGGACAAAGGAGAGGAGGAGCAGAGGGAAGGGGGGAAGCTGCTGGAGGGATTTGGGAGTTTCAGTTTTGGGCTGGGAGGTGCAACGCAGGGAACCCCAAGCTGGGGTCTAAGCTCCCTGCGCTCCCCAAGAGGACTTGATTGAGGGGTCCTGGTTGTATCTACGAGCTCTGCTGTAGACTGTGTTCCTGTTCTCCAATAAATCTTCCGCTTTACTGGCTGGCTGAGAGTCACGGTGAATCGCAGGAAGCCGGGGGTGCAGGGCCCTGAGTCCCCCACACTCCGTGACAACTGGTGTCAGTGGTGGGATCTACTGCACCCCCGTGGACGGCGCTTCCTGCAGTAAGTGACTGGGGAGCAGTAAAACGAAGGGGGATTGACGGGGACCAGGCGCGCTGAAGAGTGAGAGAGAGACGGTTATTACCCCTGGGAGTGTATGACCAGCGAGAAGGACTGTTGCAGTAACAGGGTCCCCGGGGGGATCGCAGCGAGCGGTCCCGGGGCGGAGGAGTCTGCAGCTCGACCCTGGCAGAGAGGTGGTGACCTGAAGAGGGGCTGGCACACTAGGGGTCCCCCGGGAACGGTGGAAAGCGGAGAGCACAGGCCGGCGAGTGGCCAGCCGGAGGATGGATGCTAAACGCCTTAAGAGCGACCTGGAGGAGCTGTGCAGGCAGACGGGGCTGCGCATTGGGAGGTCCACCGAAGAACAGCTCATTGCCCGGCTGGAGGGGAGGGATCGCTTGGATGAACCGAGCCCCGTCCCTGAGGGAAGCCGCCCGGCGGATGCAGCGCGGACCCCGGGGCCTGACATGGCTGGGAGGGGTCAGACTGCTGCCGAGGACATCCCGAGACCCGGCCTACCTATACCTAGGGGAGGGGTTGGGGGAAGCCCAGCGAATACCGAGGGCACCCTGACCCCGGCGGCCAGCAGGGGATCGTCCCGGCGGAGCTCCCTGTCCCGGGAGCGGATGCGGCTGGAATGTGACAAGGAGTTAAGACGAGAAGAGCTCGAGTTAAGGCAGCAAGAACTGAAGCAGGAGCGGGAAGAGAAGGAGAACCAGCGTCAGCATGAGCTGGAACTGGCCAGGCTGAGGAGCAGTGGGGCCCCGGCTGCGGTGAGCGAGGGGGGACCCAAGACTGCAAAGAGCTTTGATAAGTGCTTCCTGGCCCAGCGTAAGGAGGGGGAGGACATGGATACCTTCCTGACGGCCTTTGAGAATACCTGCGAGCTGCTCCCGGTTGACCCTGCAGACAGGCTCCAGTTTCTCATCCCCTCACTGGACTCCACAGCCATGGAGGTGTACAGCCGACTGAAAGGGGCGGAGACAGGGGACTACGAACTGTTCAAAAAGGCCCTGCTCCGCGAGTTTGGGCTGACCCCTGAGATGTACCGGGAAAGGTTCCGGAGTCAGCGTAAAACCCGTGAGGTCACATACCTACAACTGGCCAACCGGGCGCAGGGGTATGCCCACAAGTGGACAGCTGGGGCCCAAACTAAAGAGGACCAGCTTGACCTAGTCGTACTGGAGCACGTGTATGAGCAGTGCCCATCCGACCTGAGGCGATGGTTGATGGCCCAAAAGCCAGGGAACCCGCAGCACGCAGGCCAGCTGGCCGACGAGTTTGTGAACAGCCTGGCAGGGGATAACAGGGAGGAGTCCCAAAGGAACAGTCCCACCACAACGCAGAGAGAGAGTCACCATGGGACCTCCCTGCAGGGAAATACGGAAAACCCCCACCAAAGGGGAATATCCAGTGTCAGGTCCATCAAACCCGCTCGAGGGGACCCACGGGACATGGGCTGCTATCACTGTGGCCAAAGGGGCCACATACGGGCCCAGTGCCCCAGGCTCAGGGACAGACTGAGCAGACCGAACCCACAGAGGGTTGACTGGGTAGAGACCCAGTCGGACGAGGGGCAGCGTTCCCCGGCCAGGGGGGCTGGCAGAGTACCACCTGCTGAGGGAGGAGAGCTCCAGGCCAGCTCCTCTAGGGGGCTGGATGCTCCAGACTCAGGGTTTTCGGTTTATACGGTGGGCACGGGACTGTCCCTCCGGAGAGAGTACCTTGTTCCCCTGGAGGTGGATGGGAGGAAGGTCAATGGATACTGGGATACGGGCGCAGAGGTGACGCTGGTCCGGCCAGAGGTGGTGGCCCCAGATCAGGTGGTGCCCAACACCTACCTGATCCTGACGGGCCCCAAGGATGTGGGGGTACACCCGTATTTGCCCACTGAGGTGTTGATGCGGGGGGGACCTGAAGGACTGGCCAAGCAACCCCCA